GAGCGGTTGAGCACTAAGCCCCGGGGGAGGCATTGCTTCCTCTTGGTCTTTTTGCCGGCAGCCATTTTATGTTCTTAGAACTTAGCTTCCCTGCGGAACCAGGTAAGCATGGGATCGGGGGGAGGGAGGTATTGGGGGTGGGGTACGTTGGGGGGGAGGGGGATCTGGAGGGGAGGTGCTGAATGTTTGTAGGGTTGCCAGGTGTCCTGTATTTTCGCCTCCTGTCTGGGGAAAAAAATCAGAAAATACCGGACATTTCAGGTGTCCGGTATTTTCTGATTTTTTTTTTACCGGACAGGAGGCGAAAATACCACGCCGTCCGGATCAATACTGGACACCTGGCAACCCTAAGTTGCAGTGGTTTTGTATGTCACCTTAAGTAAACAGCTGATTGGGTAAGCAACTGTACTGTCATCCTAGTTTGTGAGTTCCTTCTGTTGAATTATGGAGGTTGCTTCCATTGCTCTGTGCAAGATTTTTACATCTTTCTCCTAGCTGTAACTCCACACAGTGTCAGTCATATAGTGTGGAAACAAGAATAAAGGTCTACAAGGTGTCTTCATAGTAACTGCACTTGCTAGGATCCATTAGCGTCTTCATAAGATGAACGTGTATCCCCCTTAGAACTATACAGACATACGTTATACCTGCATGTTTAAAACATGGAACAGGTTTTAATTTGCAAAAGTGATTGTGCATGCGAAGCACCAAGCCATTTAATTCATAATGTGACTTAATCATTTTGTTGATCAGTTTGTATGTTGTTATATATGACGCTACAGGTATGAAATACATTAGCTCATTTTTTCCTAAAGTTTTTGGGAAACTAATAGTCCTGTTAAGTGTTGTAAAGTGCCTTTCCATTACTTGAGGGCTTGGAACTGGCATGTGTTGTTTGCCTGCCCAATATGAGAACCCACAAACCGCTGCAGGTAATCTCTTGTGCTCTGCCAGAGGGTTGCTCCACCCCAGAAGTTTCCTAAAAAGTTTAATCCAAAATTGAGTGTTTGGAATGAGTTTCAGTTCATCTTTTCCTACAGCTTCCTCTGGAACATGAAGATCCTTCCTGCACAACCTACTTTAAAGATGGCTGCTATTATATTTCCCTGTGTCTGCCTAGAAATTAAATTAAAATCCCCCCATCTATACTAGTTGGGCCAGATGCAAAACTTCAGTAATTCAAGCTAATTACTGGAATGCCACTGCTGTTGGAATGACACTGGGTTTCAAATGAGATTTCATTTGAGTGGCCCAGTGGTGCACTTTTTTGGTCCTTCATATGGTCATGGCTTATCTGACAGTGGATTGTTCCCTGCTTCTGTTACCTGTACCATATCAGGAAAAGGGTTTGGTTCTACGCACACTAGATGCTCTCTAAACCATTCACGTGGTCTTTTGACACCCTATATTTCTGTTCTATCTGGTAGAGCACCACAGCTTCCCAATAACTTGTTGGTGCTAGGGTTGAACAGGTTTCTGCTTCCTAGTTTTACTCGATTTCTTGTTTATCTGAATGGGAGTTGGCCTTTTATTAAACCTCTGCACCTGGCAGGGTCTCTCCTGTTCCTTGGGGAAGGGTAGAAGTGCTGATAATGAGCCTAAATCCGGAAAAAGTAATTAATGTAAGTCTTCTAAGAATTCACTTTCATCTTAAGAATTCCAAGTTCAAGACCTGTAATTCCTTCTCTTATCTCTCCTTTATCTTCCCCATTCCACTCTGCTGACTCCCAAGTCTGAAGCAATGGAAAAATTCAAGGAGAAGCTGTTGCTGGCAGGTTTTGATCAGTGAGGCACGAAATAGTGCAGCTTGTTTGTTACTGAGATTTGCTCTAACAATTTGATACATGATCTGTTTATAGTAGCTGGATGAGAGTTGCCTCTGCTGTTTTGCATACGTTGGAAGAGCCTCTGAACAAGGACAAGACAACATGATAAATGGAATTAATTTGGGTTGCCAACTGTCTAATGCCACAAACCCCCTTGACCTGCCCCTTCAGCCCCTGCTCGCTGCAGCTCCTCTCCCTCTGTCACTCGCTCTCCCCGACCTGCATTCATGGGTTGGGGCAGCAGGTTGTGGAGTGAGAGCGGGGTACGGGCCCTGAGCAGGGCGTGGGGCTGAGGAGTTCAGAATGTGGGAGCCAGTGGAAGTGTGTGGAGACCACCTCCCCCAGCCCTTTTCTCTAGGACCTCAGAGATGTGCCATGGAGTGAGGGTGGGCAGGCAGGCTGGCTGCCTGAGCACCACTGTGCTTGCAAGACTGCAGCCCAAACCACCTTGTTGGGTTGCAGTACTCAGCAAAATAGGGCCTGCTTCCCTGAGGCTTCTGGTGAAACGGGGGTGGTTGGCAACCCTAGAACTCAGAGGTTTTTTGCTAGGCTTCAGAGTTTTTAAGTGTTAACCTAGAGGATATATTATAGTGGATAAGAGGACTTTGGGTTTTTTTTTCTTGAGATGTCAGGTTTTCAAGCATCTAAATAGGTGCTTATGTGCCCAAGGGCTTGTCTTTACTTGAAATGCCACAATGGCACAGCTATGCCACTGTACTGGCAGAAGTGTAGATGCTGCCTGTGCCAATGGGAGATGGTTGCCTCATGGTGGAGGTACTCTGCATCCCTGAGGGGTGGTAAGTAAGCCAATTGGAGAATTTTTCTGTTGACCTAGTGTGGTCTACTCCAGATGTCAGGTCAGCTTAACTCCCAGGGCCAAAGACTGAGCCCACTGGGTATGAAGCTGAAGACAGGGCTTCAGTCCCCCCCCCCCCCCCCCCCCAGACCCAAACTGAAATCCTTGGGCTTTAGCCCCCCTCCAGGGGCAGCAGGGCTTATACAGGCTCAGGGTTCGTTCCCCTTTCCTGGGGTCATGGTGCAGTGAAGTTCTGAGAACTGCTATCCTAATTTAAAGGAATTGATACAGAATTTGACAATTCCGTCACAATAAAGCAGAATTTTCAGGTTTTTCTTCCTGTTGCTACAGGGATCCTATTATTCTGACCTTGGTCTTCACAACAGTGGCTTCACTTCCAAATCCCAACCATCTTCCCAAAATGGAAATCGGGTCTGTCTATTTCCCTCTAGCCTGGACTTTGTTTTGAGTTCACCTGGACAATACAACCTCCTTTAGTCACAGAAATAACTGTTGGACCATGGCGCAAAGCAATGACTCTCTTGTTTGTCTGGTTGCCAGGAGTGTCTAGTTCTTGATTTATCAATTTTCTTTGTACATTTTTCCATTTGTGTCTGGACTGGGAAACAGAAAGCTATTTAAGACAGGCCATGATGTTAATCTGTTCCTCTCCTTTTCCTGCAATTGTTTTGTTTTGCTTTTGACAGTCGTCATAAATTTTTCTTGGAAAATACTGCAAAATCCTTCTTAAATATTAGTAGTTTATCATAGCTGAAACCACTCTGTGCCTTGCTAGTCTGTTTCTGGTTCGCACAGGTGAGATGAAAGTTGCACCCTGTTGTTTCCCACCTTATGTAATTTACAAGGCAAATGATTCCTGTATTAGTACAAGAAAATCCTTACCCATAAAGCCTTAAAATCCTCTTGGAGATTGAATTGTCCTCTTTGCATGCAAACAAAGTACAGTGCACCTGGCTAGGTCAGGGTGCTGTTACTGTATATATAGCATGGTACTGTGCCTTTTGTAGTTTTCCTGTATGTGCATTCTGAACGTAACTTTCACCTTGTGGGTCTTTATATTACTAACAGTCTTGTCTTCTGTAAATGCACCTCACTGTTTTATTTTATGCTATCCTGCAGAGTAATTTCATTTTTCCCTTTTGTTCAATAGTAAAATAGGTCCCACATGGTTCAAAACCTCAGCTCGGGCGGCGGGGTTTCCCTGCAGCTTCCATATACCTGCAGGCTGAAGTCATGGAGGTCTTTGGAAGTCACAAGTATTGTGACTTCTGCAAACTTCATCACACAATCTTAGCCTTACATATATGTCTTTCTTTGAGACAGAGATGCTTAGTGACAAAAATAAGTTGTTCTGTTTTGCTTCTGCACCTTCCATGATATCCTCTCTTTCTGTAGGAAACATGCGTATGTCTACTTTATACTTAGTCTTTGGACTTGAACTTTCAGATATTTAAGCACAGATGGTTAATAGTTTTTGTAATACAGTGTGCAATATCTGTACACTGAGCTTCCCTGCATTCTAACATAAGAATTTTAATAGCATGAATATGACCAAAATAAACTCAAATGAACACTTTTTCTGTTATCCATTTTATATAAAAAAAGTTTTGTGCTTGTCTCCCCCAGCCCTCCTTGCTGTACAGTGATGTTCTGCCTGCCAGAAGTTACAGGGTTTGTTGCTTTGTTGTTTTAACCACAAATGCGGAAACAGTGCACTCCCCCATGCACATGTCTTTTGCCTTTGCAGTTTGTCAAGACTATCTTGTTGGTCGAGTTTATTTATATTGTCATTTTAGTATGTGATCTCTTTGTATGGAATGCACATATGCTCACGGTGCATCTGTCAACTGTTCCGCTGGTCCTACATTTTACTCCCATTGGAATTCTGCAACAGTTGCTTATAGATCTGTAACACTGCTACAGACTTCTAATTGGAGTAAGACATTTCTGTCTTTGCTTTAGTATATGAACTAGAAATATGTAATATTGACTAGAAAGAGGCAACATCAATCCTGACTGGATCTATAAAAAGTGGCAAACTGCCTTGTATAAAACCAAAATGTAGAGTGTAACATTGCTTGCAGAGTACAATCCCATTGTTCTCCTCGGTTAAACTGAGTTTGCAACTAACTTTATTCTCAGGTCTGTACAATGGTGATAGGAAACCCAGCCCTGCAATTTCTGAGCTACATAACTAAGCCAGACATGGGTGTTCTAGATTGGAACCAGATGGTAGTGGTTTAGAACATGCTTCCCCACCAACAGCTTCCTGTTAATTCAATAACTAATATATCTCTTTCAATCAGCTTTACCAGGAATTTATCTTTCTTCCTGCTATGTCCCAATCCAGAAATATTTAGCATTGCTAAAGTTATAAGAATTGGTGTTGTCACTTTTTAGCTGGTAATTTTAAGTGTTAAAGTTGGTAGATTGAAAAAAACTGAAGAATGCATGAATGTGTGAAATTTCAGATGACTTTTTGATCTTTCATTTTAATTCTGCGCGTGTTCTGTAATGTTTCACAGCTCACTGGCGCTGAGAATTGGTGGGTTCATTCTTCACTTGCATGCCATTCATGGGGCTTACAGGAAATGCCCCTCTTTCTGCACCTTTGTTCATTCTCCTCTCCTCCCCCTTGTTTGTGCTGCACCTTGCTACCTTGTGATAGCAAATAGAAACAAAAGCAAAGTCTACCAGTTTTTGTTCTGACTCTGTTTTTTAATTGTAGGCATCTCTGTATGATGAGAGCATTTACAGTGGGAATCGTCGATATAGTGCCTCTAGTTCTCGTGCTGTAAGACGTTTTCTGCATTTTTCTGCTGGGCCTGTCTTCAGTGTATTTGTCCCATGATAATCTGTTTCACTAGTGCATGGTTTTGTCTGTATCAGTGGGCAGTATAGGATTACTGGCCGGATAGCTGATGATGGAGAATTATGTAAACAACATTGGGAGCGTCATCACCTCTACAGAGTTATCTCTGTGTAGCTTCACTGGAGTCAAATACTAATGTTCTTTCTTCAATTGCTATGTTGCACTTTCTGCAGGCATTGTCCCTAATCGTGTCCGAAAGACACAGTAGAAAGGGTTCCTCCTTCTGGTGAAAGAAATCTTAGCTGTGCCTTTTAATTTATTTACTGTTAAGTCAAAACACCAGCTGAAAAGTCACATTTAAGTAATACCCCACTTCTTCCCTGAAGCTCCATTTCACTTTTAAATAAACTACCTTCAGATCTTTTAAAAATTCAGTACCCCATGCTACCACGTTTTCACTTAGGGTAACTGATGTTATTCCAAAATCACATAGTGCGTGTCTACATTACAAGCCTTTATTTCAAAATAATGTCGAGCTGGAGGACTTGTTACTCCAGCTCATGGTAACCCTCATTTCACAAGGAGTAAGGGAAGGTGAAGGAAGTGTGTTCTTCGACTTCCTGTCATGTGGACAGCACCAAAAGCTGAATTAAGCTATTTCAACTTCAGCTGTGCAATTGACGTAGCTGAAGTTGTATGGCTTATTCTGACTTTAGCCCTCCTGTGTAGATGTACCCTCTGTGTGTGCAGACTTGTGACTTAGTCATGATTTGGGGTTCATTCTCTTGTTATGTGAGACCAGGAGATTTAGGAGGAGGATTGTCTGTAATGGTTGTTAAGCCAAAACTGGAGAGCTCAAGGAATCATTTATGGGAGACATTTCCACTCATTTACATCTGACTAGAAATTAAAATTTCTAGTTGTTTATTGGCTTCTTTAAATGAGCTTGGGGGTGGATAGGGCTTAGTCCACTAACTAGTGGACCGGTTACAGAAATCAGCATTACTGTTAATGCTTTCAATGACAATTACAAAACATAGACTAGAGAGTGAGTAACTAGACATAAAGACATTCCTTGCTCCTCTGAGGCAGTCTCACCATGGCAGATTTGGAGCCATTTTGGTGGGGCAGTGTAAAAAAAAAAAGCTGCCATTGTACCTGCTCTTAAAATGTAAATTGATGCCTTCATTGTTCAGTGCTTCCATTGTGGAAGTCTTATATTTTTTGCATTGTTTTCCACCAATAATTAATGAAAATAGATATTCTAATGCTCACTTATGCATTACAAGTGTTGTACTGTCTTAACTTAGAAAAATACATTGCAGTTGTCTTTAATGCTAATTCATCTGTTAGTCTCACTTTATCCTCTATCAGTACTTGACATTCTATTGCCATCAAAATATGACTTGCTAATAGAACTGTAAATTGTATCAATATTTGTCCTGTCCTTTGAATTAATTTGCTTCCCCTCTTCTCTTGTTTTCATTTAACTATGTTGCAACATCCATTGATAACTGTCAGTTTGGGTTGCACTGTCAACCTGTAATCCAATGGATTTGCTATCTGGACAGCACACTCACTTTTGGGTGGAAGTGTCATTGAGACAAATACCTTAAAGAACAGGATCCTAATTTGGGCAGAACATTCCTGTAGTGCAGGTTCTGAACCTAAGAGCTATTTCTCCATCTTGTTGAGACATGGAGCACAGTGTTTTAATGCAAAATGTTTACGATTAGATTATCAGTAAATATCAGAAAATTCAGTTACTCAGAAAACACACATACACAGACGCAAAAATATTTCCATTGATTGAAATTTACAGCTAGACAACCCAAGAAAGATCCTGCTTGAGAAATTAGATCATTTTGTATATTTTGACTTTGATGTTGTCAATTTGTGTTAATGATTATAAAGCTCTAATTGGCCCCATAATTTTTCTCAACTGTGAAAATTTAAATAGGTAAAAAGGCTGAAAAATAAACACATTATCCATGGAAATTTAAAACAAAAAAAGAATTCTGCCAAGCTTAAGGATGTTGTACAAAGACTCTAATGCCCATAATAGCATTCTCTTCTGCTATCTGCTGTGCTCCAGATTTTGCAGGCTGGTGAATAATGCAGTCTCTCCAGGTCTAAAATAGCACAATACTTTGTAATTACAGGAGTTGAAATATGAGGCCTTTACTTCCTGAGGAATATCTTGATTACAGCTCTGGATTGACACGCTTATGCTTGTGGTGATGATGTTTATAGCATTATTCACATCTGGAAGGCACATTTGGGCAATTGTTGACAAAAAGAATTTTCGGAAGGATGCTGTAGTTGTCTTCCTTACTAGTCAAAGATCCTGAGAGATTGTGTAGGACAAAGTGGTACACAGTTCTTATTTCCTTGCTCATCCCCAAATTACTGACCAGAGAGCAGTTAACTCAGCACTTTTTCTTTTGCTACTGACATTTTATAAATTGCTTCCCTGCAAGCTATTGATGATCTCTACATTTAAAGAGCAGCTGTATTCCTGTTTGTAAATGGTAAAGCCAGAAGAGGAACAAATGGAAACAAGGTAGTTGCGAAAGAAAGACAGTTCACTATTAAACTGGTTTGAGCAGTTGCATTTTCCCTAAAATGTGTTTCAAGAATAGTTTCTTACCTTTTTGTGATACTTAGTGTAAAATGTTAAGAGTAGTGATGGATGTCTCTAACCTGTTTCATAAAGGAATAGATTCCTTAAGTATTTGCTCTAACTTTTCTGAAACAAAATTCAATAGTCAACACACACGAGGCTTATCACTTTCTGCGGTATATCAAGAAAAGCATGGTCTGAGTCCTCCTGTGTTCATTTCCCATAGCTTTATGGCTGTTATTCAGGGCCAGTGTAGTGTCTTGAAGATACAATCATTAAACTTATGGCTCTATTGTGGAAAGGACCATTTCTGTCCCAATCTTAAAAGGTTTTTTTCCTACATAAGCTTCAATTTTTATCTTGTTTTTAAAAAAGCAAAAAATAACCCCCCCCCCACACACACACACAACCTCTCCCACACCACCTCCCTGCAAAAAAATCCCCCTTTTCCAGAAACAACCCACTAGAAATTGCATTGTGACCCACCAGTAAAACACAGAAGGCAAGCTTCCACTGGCCTGTTCACCTTGAGAATACTGTCTTGTCAGTTATCTCAGTAGTTGAGGAGTTGAGAATTACTTCTGTAATGACCCAACTGTGTTATGGAAATCAGCATATTTTAGTGTTGCCTGCCTTCAGAAATTCTTATAAAGAAAAGCAACTACATTTATCATCCAGGCCATTCCTCTCCAGATTCCAGTTGTTGTTAAGAAGGTCAAATTTAAAGCTAAATTAACAGTACTTTATTCCAATAAATGCACCAGTATAATTACTTTCTCAAAAATCCAAAATCAGGATTTGTAAGTTTCCATTAGTATTCGATACCAGCTAATAACTGGGGCACCAATAGACACAATACAGACAAATACCCATGAGACAAGTTTGACACTAATACTATTCAGAAATCTGCATCTCCAATAGCATCTTTGATTATAGGAATTTATTGACAAGGCAGTCAAAAGTCATCATCATGTCTCCAAAATCATTTGCAATGCAATGAGTTAGAAGGGTTTTTTGAAGGATACTATAAACAGGACGTGCTCTGTGTGTTTCCGTGCCTGCTTTTTTAACAATCAAAGTGTATTTTGGAAAAATTACATTCACTGTTGTCTTTGAGGCAGTAGTAATAGATACAATGGCACAAGAAAAAAGCATAAAGAATACAGTAATTCCTTATAAAAACTAGCACTAGTTAATTACAGCAGCCATAACTACATCAACTTTTAGGATAATATTACAAAAAGCGGCAAGGAGTCCTGTTACAATAACTCCTCATTTAACACTATAGATATGGTTCAGAAAATGATCGTGTTAAGTGAAAATGTGTTATGCGGGGTCAATTTTCCCATTGAAAATAATGGAAAAGGTGTTGGTTGCGTTTCAAGCGGTGGTGTCTGTTGGGACCGGGACATAAGGTTGGGGAAGAAAGGGGACTGGGTTACAGCAGGGAGGGGAGGTGTTTGGCTCTGGGGAAGGGAAGAGGAGGAGAAGGGAGGAGGATTGGGTTGGGTTGGGATTATGCTCCTGTGACAGGTCTGCCAGGACCCGCACCGCGTCCAGTGAGGGGGAGTCAGCTGGTAACGGCGTGGCAAGCGGCGAACCCTCCGCCGCTTTGCAAGGAGGCGGGGGAAGCCCCACACAGCTGCCAGCAATGGGCCGGCTGGGGAAATCATGTTATTCTGGGGACGGTCGTATAATTAAAAAAACATTCCCTAAAAAAAAAAAGTGCTATTGCGAAAATGTGTTAAGCGGGCATGTGTTAAATGAGGAATTACTGTACTTGCTTTTTTACTAAAGCGTGTTAAGAATATATTGGAATTTTCTTTACACGCATCTGCTAATTCATGAATAGAAAAATACTGCAATGCAGTAGGGGGTCTGATTGCTGCTATGGAAATGTCATGTGGGAGAAAATAATTGGGAAATTCCAAATCCAAAAGATTTCAATTCTACTTAATAGGTAAAATGCTTCCTTAATTTATACTGTTGCATTCTCCTCTGTCACCAGATTCCAGCCTGTCAGTGTGGTGAACAGCATAACAAAGACTCAGATTATTTTGGTTTATACTTGCCAGCCACAAGTCAACGCTGTCACTTAATATATTGCTCCGGGGAAGTCTGCCCCTAGGAAAACAGAATGCCTGGGTCAGCTGGAGATGGTGGTGGAAGGGGTGATGCTCTGTCTCTGTGGGAGGGTTCAGTTCTTCTCATCGTGTATGCATCCAGTCAAGGACACTTATCAGTCACTGAGGTTTCTTGGTTTGGGCTGTAGAGCGTGTGTTCATTTTGCATCTCCACAGTATTGCATAAGAAGGCGAGGAACCTGTGGCATTCTGGGGGTTCACCTGGGACAAGGTTAAGTTCTGTTGCTGCATGCCCTATAACCTGGGTACCTTTTAGACTCAGCAGCTATGGCTGAAAGCCCTGTGCCCAGCAGTGTATTCACAGGACAGTGGTCTCACCCTAAGCTTCCACCAGCCAGTTACTCCTTTCAGGGTGAATCCAAAAACCATTCTGGAACCACGGCACTCCAGAACATTCTCACATGCAGCATCCAGGCCCCTTCCTAGACCGTCGCAGAGGTAATGCTATTTCAGTGTCTCCAAGGAGCCAGTATAAACAGCTCGTTAGCTGTCTGTAAATGAGCAGTAGAAGGGACTGGACACATCAGGGGAGGTGGTTTGGGGGAGAATCATATCTGGAAAGTTATTGGGTCATTTTGCAAAGAGTAGGGCTACTCAGTGTTCAGGGTGAGACCATTGTGCTGTGGGCGTGTGGCTGGTGTCAAAACTTCTCAGCCAAAGCAGCACAGTCTGAAGGCATCCAAGGTGACTGGCCAGAGCTGACCGAACCTCCTACAGTTCTGGGTGAAACCCCAAAGCATCACAGTGCTGAAAAGAGTTAGGAGGTCAGAGAGCCTAATGAAGTGACAAAATGGGATCAGTCCGCACAATCAGAAATTGAAGGAATACTTAATTGTGTCATACTTGAAGTTTGAAAAAATAAGATGTCGAACATCTCTGCTGCACATAAATCAAACCCTTTTTCCTTGGTCCATTTGCTGTACCAATTGCATACTCTGATTTTTGTCTAATGTAGGTGTCTGTTCTTCAGCTTCAACTTTTTTTTTCTTTCACAGCTGCCATATATCCCTTTTTACCTAACCTGCAATGGTAATGTTCTGACTCTTCTATTGTTCTGATTGCTCCTATGCTAATCCTGTTCTTCTCTCTGCTTAATATGTGCTTGGGGTATATGCGGGCAGCCTTCGGAGTACAGCTGCTACCTCGGCTCCGGATCTCGGGCATCTTCTAGAGCCAGCTCTGCTCGAGCCAGTCCAGTGGTGAGCACATAACTTCTCTCTTTTCTCTTCCTCCTTTTCAAGTGCTTCGTTCCTCTGCTTCCCAATGTTTCTTTATACCTGTGCAGAAAGTGTGGTGCACCAATGCAAGGGGTCAGAGAACTAGTCAGTTGCAAGTTTAATAAGAACTATAATTCAATATTGATCATAACTAAGAATCACTGAGCAGGATCAGAAAATACAAGGAAACAGTGTGGACCTTAGCTAAAGCCTCCAATCAGATGCATATTGAATTTTGGAGAAGCTTCCCCAGACACAGCCATGCTCAATCTAAAGTGTGCTTGTCCATCAGTTAGCCATCGCTTCCCCAATACCTCAGTCTGGGCTGAGCAGGTTCTACCTTCGCATCTTGCAGTTTCGAGGTTTTCTTCAGGATCAGAGGTGCACAATACGCTCTGACAAGGCCTCTGAGCAGCTGAGGCTCCATCTAGCAGTGAACTCAAAACTGCATTCGCTGAGCTTAGCAGACGAGCGTGTCACCAAAGGGTAATAAAGGCGGGACCTCCCTGGTCTGGCATCCTTGGGACTGATGTCAGCCGACGGTCAGGGCAGTGTGTGTGTGTATGTTTCCGAGAAAAGGTTTAACGTCCGTGTCTTTACTGCTAGGACCGGGGTCCCATCGCAGAGGGTGGCCAGCAGGCCAACAGACGCCCCGAGTTTATAGGAAGAGCTTATTACGCTTCAGATTTCAGCTGCTAGAATTTCATAATTCCTTCGCAGCGGGCAGCCTCGGGGGAGACTGAGAAGCACCCCAACTGAATTTTGCCACCTGGGTGTGACACAAATCCAAACGCCCAAGCTCTCCCTATATCTGTCCCTTTATGACCGGCTGAAGTTCTTTTAAATTGTGCTTGGTTCTGTTACAGCAACTGAAGGAGTCAGGTTAAAGCTTAAACAGTTACAGGTTTATTAAAGAAGCTTATAAATCATATGGTTACAATGGCTATTGCTCTATTTCTTAACTATTAGCAAAATATAGGTCTTAAAAATGGTTACAAAGAAGATAAAGATAGAAAAATAGAAATAATGGTACCAAGTAACAGCTTACTCTTTCTATGTGTACACTTAAGACAGAGGACCACATCCAGGTACCATTTTTACCCCCTTCTGTGCCTCTCGACTCCAGCATGTCAGGCCAGGGCCGGTCCCTCAATTCCTAGGAAAGACGAAAATACGAGGTGGGCGTCCCCATAGAACCTCGGGAGGTCAAACACCTAACCCGACCAGCAGATAGAGGGTAGAATGACACTCAAAGTGAGTGTGTGCTGGGCCCATCTTTTATACTTATGGGGTCACGTATTTCTCTTTCTTATCTGTCATGCCAATTGATGCTGGTCTGTCTGCTGTGAGACCAGTTCTTACAAGGGAGTTGTGAACTTAATTTACACTTGTAAGAGAGAATTGAGATGATTAAATTTTGAAGTACTGGACATTGTTTTCTCAGTGGGAAATTCCTCTTCCTGGGACTGTGTATGTTCGAATCAACATAGGTGCCAGCCGCAGCCTCGAGGCCAGCTTATTGACTTAGCTGCTCTCTATCCACATATCTGTGTTTCAGCTTCTCAGGATCAGATGAGCCAGCATAGACTATGCTGATATTATTGCTCCTTCTCTGTCCTGTATGCTTCAGGGAGGCAAATAAGATGGATGATATGGAGGCAGGCTGTCTGGCCACAACTGAGAGGTCCCACACCAGAGTTTACTGGACCAGGGGAGGTCAAGGTTCCCCTCCCTGCTGTTGGCCTTGTTTCTGGGTGCCAACCCCAGCCACTGTACTCTGCTCCCAGCTCCAGCCAAGGCTTCAATCTCTGCTGCCAGCCCAACTGCTTCCATCCCTGCCACGGCTGCACTCCTTCTCGGGGCTAGGGTTGCACTCCCTGCTGTGTCGGCCCCTTTGCCTCTAGTCTGGCCAGGGCTACGCTCCCCTTCACGCTGATCCTGGCCAGGCAGGGCTTTCCGGACCATGGATGTCGCAAGACCAGAGTCCTGGATGTTAGTGGTTCAACCTGTACTTGTGGGTTACCAAAGATTTGGGACTGGCTCAAAATTTACTCTGCCTCCACTAGCAGGTTCAAAAGCTTCAGAGGGGCTTCTGAGTTAGTTTGTAACAGGAGAAACTTAACAAATAGACTAGTAGCACCTACATGTTTTATTGGTCTTTAAGGTACTACTAGTCTATTTGTTTTTCTATTAGCAGGGTAATTAAGAGCTGGTGGTTGCCACTGCCCTGCAGTTTAAAAGAGTAAATACATAGTGTAATAATTTTGCAATTTAAATGTCTTTCAGTCTAACTTCCTGAAATTTCATTGCCTTCCCTCACCTGCAACTTTTAGACTTTTGGACCTGCTTATGGTGCATGCACTTTTTCCTGAGGGTGGCTTCTTTTCTCTTCCTTCCTTTTCTTGCCTTTTTCCTTGTACATTTTTCTCTGTGTTTTTCTGTATCTCGTTTGAAATATTTGGTTCTTGCTTCTCCTAACATCTTTTAATAGCCTTTTTTAAACTTTTCAGTCTGTCTTCCACCTCTCTTCTGCCCATTTAATCCTTAATGAAGATTAACTCCATTAGCAATATTTGCTATTAAAGATCAGGAAGGGAATGTGTTGTACAATAGCATTTCAGACAATTTGTATAACAGAAAAAAAAATTCTCTTAGCAAAATAACCATGCCATAAATCCCTGTGTATTAAAGATAGTATAAAACGTTGTGGGTGTTAAGGATGTTAGAGTGGTTGTTTGGCTAATTGCATAGTCAATACAATTTGTCTTGGCTACACAATTAGTCGATAAGGGGAGCTGCTCTGCAGAGCCGCAGCGGGAGTAGTTCCTGGAGCTGGCATCAGCCAGGACTGAGTAGTCCTGGTTTACGCTGGCTCCAGACCGCTGTGGCTCAGCATTTTCAATTCAATAAGAGCTGCCGGGCTCTTACTACATTTAAAATGCAGAGCTGCGCAGCATGGGGAGCCAGCGCAAGTCCTGGCTAGCACTGGCTCCGTGGGCCAGCATGTGCTGGGACTATTCGGTCCCAGCTCGTGCCGAGTCCAGCAGCCCCAGTTCACGGCAGCCCAGGCTGGCTAGAGGGCAGGGACTGTGCCAGCAGCAGCCCTTCTCCATGGCCAGGCCCTCTGGTCGAGGCGGGAGGGGGAGGAGGTCACAGGTGGTACTGCGGAGAGGATGCTGGGTGGGACTGGCTTTTAAGCCGGCTGCCCCCAGCACCAGTTTCTTTCCCCCCCCCTTCCCTCCTTGCTGCCTCTCATACAGAGGCACTGGGGAGCAGGGGGAAATGAGTAGTTGAGTACTCCACTCAACTACCCAGTAGCCTAGCCTTATTAGGTAGTCAAGTACTCAACTGCTCACTTACATCCCTAATGGGGGTCTCTGTATAGTTAATTGTTTTCAGTCTATAGTATTAATGTTAAATATGCATAAACCTATGGAAACCAAGTAAGGCATAAATTATGAGTATGTAGCCTTTTTTAGGGTAAGGCCATAGCTTAGTAAATCATCCCTTGCACTGTTAGATAAAATGCAAATCTAAATTTTTAGAAATCCTTTTTTAACATGATAAACCATATACGGTCGGGGCACTTGGCTCATGCAATGGACAATGAGAGAACACTTTTGATCTCATAGGTATAATTTTTGGTGTAACCCATGTTAAAGTGATCAGAGTTAACATCTGATAGCTGCGTTGTAGTTTAAATGAGCGAAGTTGATAATTTGACTCTAAGTCCTGCTTAACAGCTGACTAAGTTGCAAAAGCTGTTGCTACAGTTGGCACTTAGTGGCTGTGGTGTCAGCAGACAGGCTAGGCATGGAACACCATAGCATTCCTAGAAATGCCTCCACTGGGTTAGGCTTGAAGTGTGTTGGCTGAGCATTTTGCACAAGCTTGTATTGTTAGTGCTGTGTCCTTTGTGTGCAAAGTTAAGGACTTCAGTTTCAGAGACAGCAATCTAGCACTCTCAGCAACTTAAAACTAACCTAACCAAAAAACCACTCAGAGGCAGAGAATGCAAGGGACTGCCCTACGCCAGTGCTGGAGGCCCCTGCAATGGCAGAGAGATGCGTGAGATGTCTCGGATAATCCTGACAAGTGACCCACACCCACATGCTGCATAGTGAACTAAATTATAGCAAAATTCAGTTTATAGTGGAATAAGTCTTGAATTTTTCCAGTGAATCTCAATGGACTGTGTCTGTTTAGTGAAGCATCTCTTCACTTTCAGTAAAGTTTAATATCAGTGTAATGATGCTAATCCCCATAGAATCAATCGTTATCTGCTAGATGCATACTGAAGTATTTCCCCTCAGGGAGTTGAATATGCACGCTTTTAGGAATAGGAGGATAACGTGAGTGAACACTCACTTTTAATAGGCATCTACAGTCGTCATAAACTCCGTGAGTTTATGCATAGCTTAGCTGAGGAGCTGAAATCTGAACATTGTTTTAGGCCTTCCTTTGAGGGATAATTGTAGAAAATACTTGCACCTCTTGTTTCCTTTAGCAAAATATCCAGATAACAGGATACATTTTTGGGCTTGCTATCTTTGATTATTCTTTTTGAAAATAAAAAATTAACGGGTACCAGTTTTTTACTCTAAAGGTCACCAGTGAATGTAGTCCCTGGTTTGAAAGCTTGTGTATTGATGGGTGTGGGTGTGTACATAACTTGCTGTTCTTAAATATGCAATCTCTAAGGCTATTTCAAAGTGAGCTGGAGTTTGGAAAACAGTCCATACTGCCTTTAACATGGCTTTCTGATACCCTGCATGCAGCGTAGATTAAGATAGGCAACTGTCTCCCCAAAACATAGTTTGCAGCAGCTTGACTTCAGGGACGTTGTTCATTCTTATTCCTTATACATAATGACTTTTTCAGAAGGAAGCCAAAGCAACTTAGAAACGACAGTAAACATAGAACACTATTGAAAAACATTATAGGTGCATAGCACGTGACACCACAGCGTTTGGAAAGTAGTC